CTCCGGCCTCTCCAAGCGGAAGGGGCGCCAGGCACTTCCCGGCGCTCGAGCTTACGGTGGTGAATCACGGGAGAGAAGACGATTTTGAACGAAGCCGCGGCTGCCTCGTGTGAGCTGCAAAACCGACACCCGGCGTGGGTTGTGCAGGGCCAGAAGCGCAGTTACATGCTTCTCCGTTTCCGTAACGCCTCGCTCCAGGAACGCCTATGCAGGTGAGCGGCTCGTATTTACCCACATCCTGCTCTCCGCACCAGCGGCGGCGAGCGCGTCAGGGCACGCAGGCTGGGTGACGGGGAAGGCTGGTGGGAGATGAGCCGGAGCTCCTCATTTCCTGGAAGGATCGCGCCCAAGAACGCGTGAGCACGTCCCTCGCGGGCAACAACTCACACACAACAAGCGAGATGCTGTCAGGAATTTAATTGTACTTGGCACTTGAAACTGTACAATACATTTACAGAGAACCACGCGTTTTGCTGGGTCTATGTACACCCTCCTCCGATTTCCAACGTTACTGGCCAAACATCTTACAGCCGATAACCCTTTACATCCGAGTTAGGGCTCCTTAAGCACCGATTGCAGATGACGCTCAAGGGTCGGTATCATGGGATCCCTATCATTGCCATGTCATTACCAGTCTAACTACCCAAACAACCTGGTGGCTTTTCTCATACTTGTCACCATTTTGTTTCTTACATTTTGCAGCACAGAGCCATCAGGCTGGACTTCTCTCACAGGAATCTTTGGACCACTAGGACATGGCAGTGCTGCCGTTACAAGTATATACAATCACTAACTCTGCTTTTCTTAATTCATCAGCTTCAGACACTTTCTTTTCTCTACCTTTCTACCACCTACGATATCCCCTTGGTTGCCTCCAGTTCTGTCTGCCACCCTCCGGTGGAAGGCACTTCATTTTCAAAAGTAACAACAACAAAAACCTACCTTCACTCCCTACTATTCCCTCTAACCAATACTCCTCTCCCCTCCCCAAACCCTTTGCAACGTTCCTAAAACCTTCCTAACCCCTTAGCAATGCAGTTCTCTTTCAGTAGTTCAGAGCACACACAAGCCATTTATATTGCTCGTCGTAACGCACTCGAAACGCTGCGTCGAGCGAGTCGCTGCCTCCCAGCCTCCTGGCTCTTAACACTATGGCTTGGTTTCGCTTTGCAGGGTTTTGAAGTGACAAGTCGTATGTACATGCGCATCTTTGAACAAGAAGGATCAAGTACTTGAAAGGAAATGCCAAGTCTGAAAGACTCTAAAGACAACAACCAAAAAAAAAAAGTACAAAAAGTAAAAAAAAAAAAAAAAAGGAAAATTAAACCCCAAGAAAAACCAAAAAAATCCCAAACAAACCTGAAACAAAAACTAATACAAATTAAATACTTGGCAGGTTACGTGAGTGAAAATGAGGAATGTACAAGAGACAAACTAAGATGAAAAATTCCAGTAGGTAAATTGAAAACCTATTGAACCTGGGGTCCGTTTTTTGGTTTGATTTTTTTTTTAATTTCTTTTTGTTAAAAAAAAAAAAAAGTTATACGGATTACAATAACCAAACACTGCAAAACATGCACTGCATAAACAAAAAGAAAATGTGCATTCAGGCTTCAAGTCCACTTTAGGAGTACTTTTGCAGTGCTGATCCAAAACCACTGGAAGTGAGGTGTTCAGCTAGGCTTCTGTTAAAAACACCCACTTCTGCTTTACATTTCCCGTTTTCCTCTCAAATGCTGCACGCGGTAACGCTTTGGAAAAGCCAAGCGTGCTATTCAAATTTGCCATTAACAGTCAAAAGCACGAGGACTTTTGAGTCACAAATTTACAGCATGAAATCAGGTTCAAGGTGGCCGTGTTTGCAAAAAACGAACTCCAGTTCAACAGTGTTAACTGTATACCAGTAGCTGCCATTATAACATAAAAAAAAAGAAAAAAAGAAAAAAGAGACATTTCTGTTCAATAGAGTAAATCCCATCATGCTCACATTACAAGAAAAATGTACACGTTATTTATAAATAAACAGTCTTCCACAAGGACATTCCCGGACTCCTCTTTACACTAACGTTTCTTTCCGTTTGCTGCTTAGCTGCTTCTCTCTCGTTTTTCTGTGCCCAGAGAGCGTTCTGTGTATTTTCAAACCCTTGCCTTCCTCCGAGTCCTGGTTGGAGCCACACTCGGGCATGTTTTCGTCTAGCTCCATCTCAGTTATGCCAGACATGGCAGACTGCCTCCTCTGGACTTTGGTGTTGGATGCGGAAGGGTTGTTCTCCTCAGACTCTTCGCTGAGCTCTGGCAACTCCTTTAGCTCCCCTGCGGCCGCAGTCCGCTGGAAGGGGGCAATGGCTGTTCGGATGCAATTAACCCATTGTTGCTTGTGGAAGATATCGTTGGCTTGCAGCGTGTGGGACTGGCCTGGGGAGGGATCTTGGAAACGGACTCGGAAGATATTTTTAGCTGAAGATAAACATAGGAAAAAGCAGATCAGTTCCTAGCTCAGTATTTAGAGATTCCATTACTAGACAAGCGTCCCGGACTGCCCTGCTGTTTCTGGGAAGTGTTCAAAACCCCACAAATCAAACAGAGCAGGCACTTTGAAATAGATGTTTTCTAATCCGAGCACTGACTACACAGCGCTATATATTTATTTATGTATATGTATATGTGTGCGCGTGTGTGTCTGTGTATACATAAATACACACACACACAAGCAGCGTGAAGCCACCAGATAGAAAATTGCAAAGCTAGCAGTGACAGACTAAAGGTAGAAGTTTACGCATGTGACCTGGCCGCTATCCTAAAGGAACCTCAGTTCACAAGGATCTAGGAGAGCACAGCTACAATCTCGTCTCATCTTAATACCAATCTTTGCAGCCAATCGCTGCAGAGTGACTCCAACACAGATAACTCGTTTGGGCTCTACCTTTATCTGAATTGCCAAAAGCTCCTCGGAAGGATCCCCCCATTTTCACATCGCCATCCTGCAGGTCTTCGAGGAGCAGCTCCTGGACGGGGATCGGCTGCCTGTACACTTGGTAGGACTGACGCTCATTTCGAGTGACTGGTCGGGTCAAAACCAGGATGTCTTGGAAGAGGAAGACGTACAGTTTCTGAAAGGGAAAACACATGCGAACATGAGCAAGGCGTTGTATTCGGTATACGTGACTCGGCAGTTACATATCCCTCCTGGATTCAAGGCCACATTATCTAAGCCTCACCCACATCAGTTTTCTGATATTTTCCTGATACTGTAATGTAGGGCTCTGACAGGGGTGGCATATACAAGACTTGCACCAAAATGTTTGATATCTTGTGACCTATAAAAAGCTATTTCTCACTTGCACTTGCCTACGAAAGGTAGCGAAAGACACAGGCCTGGCTTTCCTAAAGGCCTTAAACTATCGTTTAGGATTTCACGTTTGAAATTTAACTACCACCTTAACACCACACATTTACCAGCCACTACTACGGCTATACGTGGCAAATATAGGACGTTTAGAAGCAATATCTTTTTTGAAAATATAGTGTTTTACGTGTATAAAAATGCAATGGCTGAATTTTGCTGAACAAAAAGCAAAACCAGATTTGAGGTTTAAAGAGAGTTTGCTCCTCCTGGAAGTGAGGACAAAAGGCAGCAAGCCTTGACTATGGCAGGGCTTTCCAGCGCTGCTGCAGTGGCAAAGATAAACTTTTGGCAGTTCATCTCTAACCCAAACAGGCTGTGGCAGGAACACTTTGTTTGGAAGAGCTGTGAGCCAGCTTTTATAACAGGGAATGTCAGAGCACCTGAAAGTAAACAGTAGGCAGGAAATCCCTTTTGATGGAGCGCTAGGGCACAGAATGGTAATTCCACGGTAATTATTTTCCAGGTTCAGACACCCTGAAATACAGCCTGCCATCAGGTGCTCTCTCTCCTGCTTTTCAAACTTAACTAATTGTCTAAACTAACCTTAAGGAGAGAAGGGCTCCCAGGCCTGCCATGACAAACAACACCAACTGCCTCCAAGGAAAGGTTTTCAAACTTTAGTGTTAATTACCAAGAACAGAATGAACTTACATGTCCATTTTTATTCTTCAGCTCCCCATGGCACAGTAAAGCTTTGCTGCCCTCAATTCTCGGGTCCTTCTGCTTCTCATCCAAGTACTCCAGCTTGTCAATGTAATATTGGCACTCAGACTCCCCCTTCTTCAAGTTGATGTCAGAGAGGACTCCTTGGATTATAGTGATCTATACAACAGAACATTAAAAATGATTAAATAGGAATCTATGCTTTGCATATCTTCACTTTAAGTGCCATTTATAACTCCAGATGATGGAATTCACATAGATTAATCTCTCACTTGCTTTCACCCCCAGAATTGCTGAGAGCGAGGAACTTCTCTGAAGTTCCAGAATTACATGCTCATGTCACAAGGATGATCATGAAATCACTATTACTTACTGCTTCCTCTAGAATCTGGATATCAGGATGGTCTTTCGGAGTGTGTCTCAAGATTTCTTTTAGGAGCAGTGGGTATTTGACCAGTCGACTTCGAGGAATGTCCAGGAAGCTCCAAAGGTCTAACTTACGGCTGAACGGAGACTCAAGGCAGCGCTGAAGGAAGTCCTGCACTCTCCGGTCCTGCTTCTTCTGATCCAGAAGTGCTTTGGCTGCCAGCTGATTGCTGCAGTAACCTTTGTAGGCATGAAGTCGTGGCAACTGCAGGAGAACGGAACAACATTTAGGAGCTAAATTCCTCGTAGGAAACACAAATCACATTAACATGTGAAACTTGGGGAGTACTATTTCCCTTACTGCAATTCTTTGCCCCGTTAAAAGCTAACAGATTATCTTGTATATGTAGCTAGTCTTTTGTGAGGAGAAAAATGGCACCCAGCATACAATGCCTTTGAAGTTCAGATGTTTGAGATTAACAGCGATAACACTATTGAAATCACATCAGCTACAAACAGGCATTTCAAAAATAAATCAGAAGTAATTGCAGACACTGTAGCACAAGTCTCCAGAGTGAAATCTTGGCCCATTACAGTTGACAGACTCCCATTGTTTTCTGTATAGCTAGAATTTCCGTTTAGATCTTTTGCTCAAGGCCACAAAACCCTACAGCGTTTCAATCTCTAGCTTTAAATATTCTTTAAGCTTATAACCGTTTTCTGCCTGCTGTCTCTCAGCTCTGTACTCACCCATTTCACAAGAATGGGCCCAATCTGCTCCACTGTTCCATCAGGTTTTGTTGCTTCTCCTAAACTTGCCAACAAATCTGGAATTGAAACAAGGAAATGGGAATTGCCACAATGCCTCAGGAAACTTTTCTAATGCAAGAGAGTAGAGCCTGCAACTCCTATTCAGCACATTACGTAAAAACAATCCATCTGCTCTTACCTTCATGCAGAGGAATATAGGAATCTAAGTCCCCAAATATGTGGGTGAGTTCCTCCTCGGACATGATAGAGAGTTTCAGCATGGGATCATGATAGGCCTGTCAAAGAACATCAGTATTAAACCATATTCCAATCTCCCACACCCAAATGCCAGATGAAAACATATTTATTAGGGGGATGTATCACGTGCAAGATAGGTCTGAAGTAAAGTCAATAGAAAAAATAACATCGACTTCGATCTCTGCAAGATTCATCCCTGTATAAAGGTATCAAGGCCTACAAATGAAAAGGACTTTCCCGTCTAAAATGATCTCATCTGGGAGAGGGATTCCCCAACTAGTTTTGTAGACTACAAGCACAACTTCAAAGCACAGTTTCTTTTGGCTACGTCAGCTGTCAATCAAACCAGTACTGGCAGTACTCTAGGACTGCTCCCTTCAGCTTTCCAGGTCAACTTTCACACAGTGGATGCCGGGCTTAACATAAAGTTGATATGTAATATTCCATATGTAAAGAAATCTTCTTATTATCTGCAATATGATTACTGATTCTAAGGAAAAAGACACTCACCTTTCTGGCAAGCTTCAGATCTTCTATTAGATCCTGCTCTCCTCTGGACATTTCATATATTGCCTGTGAGACGGGGGATAAAGCATGGAGAGTCATTTCTAATCCTCTCACAGTCTTTTAGTTCACATAATGTGCATCCTGTCTCTGCAGCTTGAATAGGAGGTCTTGCTATCTGAATCTGGACATGACAACCTCAAATAAATCTGCTGTCTTTCCCAACTCTGAAAAAGCTACATTACTTGGAGTTGTGCAAAAACTTTGAAGCTCTGGCACCAGCCAAATTAAATATTAGCACCTTTTAAATCACTGCTTTTACACAGGCAAGTATGAAAAAAAACAAAACCCAGAAAACTGCAGAGGTCAAATCCCAAGTGTCTTTAGTCAGCTTCTGTGTTGTCATTAGAAGATTTGTCTAAGAACTACAGGAAAAAGGCAAGCCAAGGCCTTGCTATTTGGCTTTCAACCAACTATCAAGAGCCTTAAGAGAAAGACAGCTGGCTTTAGAAGGAACCTGACTTTGGGTCCACTGCAAAGCAACCAATGTGGGTGAGTCTCAAATTCCAGAAGCGTTGAGCACCACCGTGGAGATGCTTTGGCATCTCAGAAGGGTCAAACTGGGGAGACAAACTCCCTAGTGACTCGAGAGAGAAGTCTACCTTTTCCCAAAGAAAGAAATCTAGTCTTCTAGAAATAAAGGAGTACAGGAGGATAGAGTCACACCCACATCTGCCCATTTCTCCTTTTCCCATCATGGAAACGGGCTAAGTAAAGGCCTCAGTCGCCTCTTTCCCAGTCCTGCTATTTAACTGACAGCCTACCTCCTGGCGCTTGATTTCTTTGGTGCTCAGGGACTCTTTCATGTTGACGTCTAACATCTCAGACCAAAGTACACTGTTTCTTCTTTTCGGAGGGGTAGGAGCAGCAGATCTACTACATGACTTCTGGGCACAGCTAGGAGATTTGCTGTCACTGCGAAGGGCAAATGACTATGGGGAAAAAAAAAAAAATATATATATATATATAGCCAACGTTTAATAAGCGCAAAAGTGTTATTCACACCCCTCCCAATCCTTCATCCTCCTCTGCTGTACAGGGCAGGAAAACACACCCAGACACTTTTCCTCAGATAAAGGAACACTTTAATCAAGCTGGCGAGAAAGCCCCTAGAGACCTGAGATGGGCAGTCTTTTCCATGTTTCTCTCCCGGCTCTGATCCAAAGCTAGCACGTGGGAGGAAGAAGGGCAAGTAAAGTCTGATTCCAACTCCAAGGTACGAGGAAGTACATAAAAGAGGATCTTAATTCTACCTATAATGGGGCTAATCACGAGCCACTTGAACTTTGCTTTCATGGTTTGCTATAACATTGTTTATAATAACAGCCCAGACATAGAAGTGATCTTATCTGCACGTACGGGTTATAGTGTTCTTAGACAACATTTTTCTAACATTACTTAGAGAGCACTAAACAGCAGGGTCAGTTCACATTTAAGCACATGCTCCAATACATATATCTTAAGTATTGGAACAGTTTATCAACGGGTTCTCCCTATCTGATTTTTTTTTTCCCCCCTCATTTGCTTAACCCCTCAACTATCTAGTTAGTCAACAAGCCATCTCTGAACTCCTGAACTTTTCTTCATCCCTAAATCACAAGGAGCAAACTTCTTGTACAAGGCTTGTCCTTCTATGAAGCATGCAGTAGATTTTCAAAAGACGCCTGGAAAACCTGGTGCCTGTTTCACCACCAAACAGCCACATCTCCCACGTTGCCACCAAGGACTGGAAAGTTCTACTATTTACCTGTATTGTCTGACCAAAGCGTCGAACTGCACCATTTCTTACAGGAGAGATCAAGTTCGCCAAGGACGTGACCCGCGCTAAAGGCCGAACCCGTTTATTGCTTGGCTCCTGTAAATAAAGCAGAGAACAAATTGTACTGGCTGTGACTCCCACTTCATTTCTCAGCTGTCCAGGCAAGTTTAAAAAGCAAGAACTCACTTAAGGAGTGGGAAAAACAGCAAAGAAAGTGCTCGAAGTAGCCATTCATCTTAAAGGGAAAGCAGTGGCTATAAATATTTGTCTGAACTTTAAGGCTACAATTAAACTGGAAATATTTTAGCCAGTGTAAAAGAGGGAAGATAACATTCGTGCCAACTGGAATTCAAAACAGAGTTTGAACAGCAATCCTTACGACTCGAACAGAAATAGTCTCCTCTACAGGGCAAGCTATCGTCACCTTTAGATGGAGCTGTGATCTGTTTCTCTGTTTCATAATGTTTTCCTTTTTTAGAAGGAAAGTATTTTTCCATTTTGATTTTATTTTGGAGACAAATATAGCAGTCAGAGCCCAGGAGAGCCTAAGCAGCTACTCTAACAAACGGCAAACGACCACATGCTGAGAATTCCTGCGAGGAACATGCACGCACAGAACAGATTAGGTTTAAAACCTTCAGTTCTACAAAGCTTCTCCCTCTCCACACCCCCAAAGTCATCCAAACTTTTTTTTCTATATTGTTTAGATTTGACGGATAGAACGGCTGCTGTCCTACACCACTAATCGGTCCTGGGAGCCCAGAGAGTTTTCGACTCTGTTCTGACCAAAACTGCCACGAAAGAGGAACTGTCTCATGGCAACCTATTTGCACTTCAGCTCAGATCAGTTTTTAAATCAAGCTAGCCACCCTATGTACTTTGCATCAAAAAATGGTGTATTCTGAGGACTGTTTCTGGAAAGGTGTGCACAACGGGAGGCCAGGAAGAGCTGGACTCAGAACCTGATGCTGAGAAAGGCCAAATGAGCTGCCCTGGTACTCTGAAACATATGGCATAGTTGGACTTGACTCATCACAAGGAAGTTTCTTAGCACGAAGTTAAGATGAGTTTAATGGAAGTTTCTTTTTTGAGTCAACCTCAGTAGAAATTTCACCAAAGTTTTATTTAGCATTTCTGGTGAGTTACAGTTGACTCTCTCCTTTTACATATCGAAAGATTGAAGGGGGAAGACTGAGAAGGCTGCCTAAGAGCTTAATACAGGCTCTCTACTGTCTCCACTTCCTGTCTGAGACTGCAAGATAAGGAGCCCAAACCCTATGAATCCTTTGCTTCTGTGCAGCAAGAGAAGTGACAAATGCTGAAAACAGAAAAGAGGAATAGGAACATAAGAGTGCTGGATTCCGGTCACGAGATCCAGGAAGTGTAAAAGCTACGTATGCAAGGTCTGATTTCAGCGACATAACCCAAGGAGCGGCCTGCGTCTGCCTACACACAGGATTAAGCAAGAGAGGACGTTAACTCACGCTTTGAATTAAGTCTTCAAACTTGCAGGGGGAAGACAAGAAAAGAAACAATTCCATGATTGATGCAGAGCAGAAAGACCGCTCAGCACAGTACAAAGGGCGCTCAAAGCTGTGCTTGAAAATGTTTGGGTAATCTCAGGGCCATGACGGTACTACAGAAACAGAGAAAACCTACAGAGAGAACAGCGAACGCCTTCAGCCCCAGGAGCCTGATCCTCAGCTAGATGCAAGCACGCTACCAGGAATACCACCACAGTGACTTCTTTCCTGTGCCAGCCCACAAAACACCGCACCCACAGCAGAATCTGTCGGGAAAAGGATTATCCAGAAAGCTGGAAAGTCAGGCTGGACTCAGTGGAAGACAAAGGAACTTACATTAATTATGGCCATTTCTGAATGGAGCAGAAGGATAAGCAATTTAATTCTGTAAAACAGTGCATCAGCCTTCCGGGGCACAAGCCAAGAAAGGCTTAAGAAACTACAGGAATGTAAGCAGCAAATATACAGACATAAGCCACACACAGCTCTGCCCAGGCCAGTGATATAAATAGACTACAAGTGAAAAACGTTACATTGAAAATGAAGTACTGAGGCTTCTTACGCTATTCAGACAGGGCGCTTGTACGGTATTTCTCAGCTCGCTGTTAAAGGGTCAAAGCTGCGGCCTTTCCAGATACGAGACACGACGACACGCTATCTGCGCTAACGGACATGTGCGAATGCCTTCCCCGCACATCTGTGCGAGGCTCCGGCGACACATGCATATGCACAAGGTCTGGCAGAAGGCATTCCTTTCCGTTTGGGACAGACCGTACAAAGGGGCTCCCTGTTCGAACGGGAGCGTAAATCGCCGCTTTTCAAGAGCTGCAAAGTCGACGCGGAGCGAGACGCGCAAAGACAGGCTTGACGCAAAAAGCCCGGCGCTCTCTCGAACGAGAGGAAGCGCAGCCCCCGGAGAGCCCTCCTTTGCTCCAAGGAGGGAGGAATTTTTGGCACAAAGCGGCACCACCGAAATGCTTTCTGCACACGCGGCGCGCTCCCTCGACGTGTTCGGACAACGGGGAAACTTCCGTACGCTAGAAATTAGGACTAGCGAAGGGCCGTTTCCTTCTCTTAAAAAAAGGAGAAACAAATCCTACTTTCTGTCCCGCGAGTGCTCTCAGACCTGAAGACAGACTTGACTGCCAGAAGATGCAATTCTTTCTTCTCCTTCCAACTATGTTGTTTGATCC